ATTATATAAAGTGAGAGCAAAAAAGAAGAATATCATGCACGTTTTGGCAGCACATCAGAAAGAGTCTGTGGGTTTATTTATGGCGTGAAAGCAATCACTGTGAAAAAATAAACACAGTTTATGGCTCCGGACCAAAAACTAATGAGCTGCCTTGCTGTCTGCTGTCTACTTAGGGAGCCTTATTTCTATAGAAGGTAACATTCTAACTGAAATGAAACCCTAAGTGACTGGTTTGGAACACCCTACATATAGGCAACAACTTATGCGTCATACAAATAGCACTCCTAACATTAAGTGCACAAGAAACTATTTCAAGATAGGTCAGTGTTAAGATAATAACATGATACTCGACGCAACTGCACAGTAGCTAATGTATTTAAAAAGCCTGTTTGTAATTAGACAGAACTGTTTTTAATATTTACTTTTGGGTATTTAAAATATATATATATATATATTTTTTTTATAAGCATTCATCCCACTTCCTCCACCAGATTAGATTTTCACTTTTTTCATCACAGTGCATTATGGGATCACCTTCTCTGTAAAAGATGTTTAAAGGATAGACCTAATTGCTATATATTAGATAAAACGTTTCAACAACATTATCAAATTTTTCATTAACCATAAAAGTTAAAACAATTTCCACTCAGAAATTAAAACAACTAGAAGACTTTGTTAAAAATATAAGTTGTACATTTGAAACTATATTTGAAAATAACCCTCAAGATGTGTAAACTCAGTTTTTTTTCTGATGCAAAGAAAATAAGCCTTTTTTTTTACTTGATATTTCCATGAATCAAAACATTTCCTGAAAGTGGTGCTAAGGTTTTTCCAAACCACATGAAAACAAAGATTTGATTTCATGCATATTTTTTGATGTTTCGTTTTCTCAGACATTCTTACACTGAACCTTTGACCCGTTTTTATTCTCAGGTGTTGCTGAATAGCCAGAGCACGTCTGCTTGAGATTCCTGTAACGTCCTGGACTGCTGGGAATCATCCTGCAATCCCAAACCTCAAGGTGTGTGTGGGAAAGCTCTCCTCCTGCATGACTAACTGTGTGTAATGGGAAATATGTATGCGCATCTTTACAGTAAATCATGGAGCGTTGCTGAAGGTTTCTGAGGTCTTCAGCCAGAGTGGCCCTCGAGTCCGTCGGCACGTCAGGGGCCAGTTGTTCAAAAGTAATCTGATCGGATTTTGGCAATCTGATCAGATTGGATCAAATCTTGAAAATGGGTTGTTCAAAAGAAAAAAAGGATTCCGAATTCGGATTAGATCACAAAATCCAATCTTGGTTTTGATCTGGATTAAATCCTTAATTTGTGTTGTTCAAAATGTTTAAGTAAGATTGGGGTACTTAAAAAAAAAAAAAAAAGGATTATTCTGATCCCAGCAGAAGGGTAGATTTCAGGAACAAAATTGTAATAAAACCTTAAAACTGGTCCAAAAAATACAACATTTTAACATATATCCCCAAACAGCTGTCAATATCAAACAAAAATATTACATTTAATTTAAATGTTTTTTTTTTTAATCACTGATTGTAAACTACATTGGCACAATCATCAGAGATGGACCAGTCAGAAGTAGTTATTTGTGTAAATGCAATGCAAAACAAAACATCTGCATTCCCCCCATCAGCATCTAACTTTAGGGGCTACGTAGAGCACTAATAATCCAGATTTGGAAATCTGAAAAAGAGTGTGTCTGGATCAGGGTGGTCCAATCCAAGTTTGCTTTGAAAAACCAGCACAAAAGTAAGATGGGTCACCTGATCGCAAAACATGGGATTTCCAAATCCAGATCATTCTGATCCAGATTAAACCTTTTGAACAACTGGCCCCAGGATGTGAGGGAACCATCTCAACCTGGACTTCTTTCAGGTTCAAGTCAGCTGGGATTATGTCCAGACTGATACATTCTGCTTTTCTTTTGCCCCTTTTGTTCGACTAGACAAAGCGAGTCTCTTTGACGGCTCGAGGGGAGTTGGATCTCTCATCCTGAAGGATCCTGGGAGCTCCGTGGGAGGTTTTGGGTCGGATCGTGGCCAGACGGGCTCATAGTTTGAATTGTTCTCACTTAGTTTTTCCATCACTGGGAGTGCTGTGATTCGGGTGGGGGTGAGAATGTGACGTTTTGTCGGTTTTATTAGGCCTTCACCTCTGATAAGTGGCCCTCGCACTCATGAGGTGAATTATGTCTTTTTGAGGTTATACGGGGTGTGAGACAAACCAAAGCTCTGATATTCAGGGTCTCTGAAAGTAAACGTCACCCAAAACCAATGTGCAGTGATTCGTGGCCAATTTCATCCAGAACTGTTTGTCCAACCAATGGAAAATAGGGGGTCTGTCATTTTTTTCCCTATTTAGATTGCCATAGTAATCATCTGATACCAATCATGATCTTATCTCGACCTCCTAAGTTTTGTGGTTAACGAAACATTGTTACAACTTTTTATCTGACTTCTTAACTAACTCCTAAACAGTGTTGGGGGTAACGCATTACAAGTTACGCATGTTACGTAATCAGATTACTTTTTTTTTTCAAAGTTACTAGTAAAGTAATGCATTACTTTTACATCTACAAGAAAATATCTGAGTTACTTTTTCAAATATGTAACGCAAGTTACTTAGTTTTTTCATTTATTGACTTACAGCTCACCTGTCCCCATATTGAGAGAAATTGGGAGTAAGTAACTTACTAATTTCACTTTTGATGTGAAAGGGCTTTTAGAGTTGCCTGAAATATAACTTTTGGGTTTTTGTTATTAAATCAAATAAGCATGCCCAGCTCAGGTGCACTGTAAAAAAAAAAAAAAAATTTACGGTAAAATACCGGCAGCTGTGGTTGCCATAGACTTAACTAAAATTCACAATAAAAAAATGTAACAACTTTAGGTGTAAGATAAACCCCTAATGTACACAACTGATAAGAGAGAAAAAAACTAAGAAGAAACTGTTATTTCAATGAAAAAACATCAAATATGAAGTGTCATGCAGAGAATTCTGGGAGTATCAATTTACGTTTTTTTAGCAATAGCTTTACAGAAAATGCAGAAAATTATACAATGACCATTTCTTTTTTATCACTTCCAAAATTCATAATTTAACAGTATTTTACTGTAAAATTACATTAAATGTAATTACATTTATTCACCGTATATAGTATGGAAACTTACTGTTAACCAGTTAACAGGTTTTTAGTATAGCATTTTTAGTCTTTTACTGTTAAAATCACAAAAATGTTTTACAGTAACGCAATTAGTTACTTTTTTATAGAGTAACGCAATATTGTAATGCATTACTTTTTAAAGTAACTTTCCCCAACACTGTTCCTAAATGCACTGTAAAAAATTATAGTATAATATTAAGTTGTATTTCAGTGTTTCTACTTCAAAATATAATCTTTAATTCAATGTGTTACTTGCCTTTTCCTTGTAATTATTTGTAAAATAAAATTCGCTATTAACATTTGACAACTTAAACTTAAGTGTTTCCATGCCATAAATTGAATTATACAGTATGTTCATTTTCAGATGTACAGGTGCATCTCAATAAATTAGAATGTCGTGGAAAAGTCATTGTCAAGAGGAAGATTAGAGACACCAGACCTAACAATGCAGATGACCTGAAGGCCGCTATCAAAGCAACCTGGGCTTCCATACCACCTCAGCAGTGCCACAGGCTGATTGCCTCCATGCCACGTCGCATTGATGCAGTAATTCATGCAAAATGAGCCCCTACCAAGTATTGAGTACATGTACAGTAAATGAACATACTTTCCAGAAGGCCAACAATTCACTAAAAATGTTTTTTTTTATTGGTGTTATGAAGTATTCTAATTTGTTGAGATAGTGAATTGGTGGGTTTTTGTTAAATGTGAGCCAAAATCATCACAATTAAAAGAACCAAAGACTTAAACTACTTCAGTCTGTGTGCACTGAATTTATTTAATACACGAGTTTCACAATTTGAGTTGAATTACTGAAATAAATGAACTTTTCCACGACATTCTAATTTATTGAGATGCACCTGTACTTACCTTCACACATACAGCCATGAGTAATTAAAAAATAAAACTTATTTTGTATATATTGCAAGTAATTTATAGATTTAAGCTATATTAAGTTGCTTATTAAGATACTTTTTTTTATCAATTTAAAATGCCACAGAACTTGCAGCAACTTCAACAAATCTACATTTGTGGAACTAAAACATATCATCAATATATACGATAACACAAAAATGTGATTTTCAAAAGCAGGTATTAAACTGTTTGCGATTTGTGATGGTTGTATAGCGAGTACTACATTCTTTTTGACTGCTTGATTAGGTTTTTAATTACAACAAGTTTCAAACAAATCAGTTTAATTAACATTCCGAGAATTAATGATAAAAGCTACATACATAAGTCAATTTATATTGCTTTACTAATAAATTAATAGATTCGGACACAAAAATAGACCTGCACTAAAGGTAAAGGATAAACATTTTTCACATACAGCAAAAAAAATATTTAAAATATGAATTTTATATTTATAACATTAAGGGAAAGAAGAAACCTCATGTTATATTGACTGGAAAATTAAGAGCTCTTACAAGATACTTTTTTCCCCTTAGTGTTGAGACTGACTGTAATTAGCACAGCTGTTTAATTTCTGACCAATAAACGATTAATAGTTTTAAATCAAATATTTTATCTATTAATATCTTATCATATTGCAGTTGCCACCATTTGATAATAGCTCATTCCTTTATCTTACTTTATTTTAATCATAAAATGTTTAAATGAGGGATGCTTATGGACTTCCCCATATTAATTTCATTAGATAACAGTCTAAAGAGGAGAATTTGGGACGTTTCAGGATTGTGTAACAGCAAAGGAAAGTGCTGCCCTCTTCAGGTGGAAAAACAAAAATGTGCAAATACTCCAGAGGGAAAAAAAAAACATTTATTATTATATTCTTTAAATATAAATCACACACAAAGTATGCATCTCTGTCACATCGGGCTCATCGCTTATAGTTCATGAAACAGTCTGTGAGTGAAATCACTTGCTCTTTTTCTTCTTTTTGGCGGCGGGCGCGTCCTGCAGGCCGTCGTTGCTCTCGGCCGCTCTCTTTCTGCTGGTTTTATCGCTCACGTATCTGCTGGAGTCGCTCGTCGAGAGCTCGGAGGGCAAGATCTCATCCGACTCCTGTCGTTTGTCTTTCTTCTTCCTCTTCTTCTCTTTGTGATGTCCGTTTGCATTGGAGTCCATCTCTGCTCGTTTGTCTTTCTTCTTCCTCTTCTTCTCTTTGTGATGTCCGTTTGCATTGGAGTCTATCTCTGCCGTGTCTGCGGCGGTTTGGTGGTTTTCTGACGTTAGCTCCAGGCCTCTGTCGTTCTGAGACTCTTTCTCATGCTTGTCTTTCTTCTTGGGTTTCGGGCTGTCGATTGTGTCTTCTGTGGATTCTGGTTCTGTAGTTAATTCTACCATTGATTCCTTGTGTTCGGTTTGGGCCACAAGCTCTTGCACTCTGAAAATCAATAAATTATTATTAGTAACGACACTTATCTCTCAAGTCGATACTATTACAATACTTGGGTGCCAAATCGATGGTATTGCATTTTTATTTTATTATTTTTACAATGTATTGCAATTTATAAAACGGATAGTTCCGGTCCTTGATTCTGATTGGTTGAGCCGCGTTCGAAGCAGTTGTAAATTACTCTACAAACACACACCTTTGTTTACGTTTGTGTGTCGCTCGGCATCCACTTTATTGGAACCACAACTGTGAATTTATAACAGGTATATTTACTTAATAATCACCCCCCCCCTCCAAAATAAAAGCATTTAACATGAATTATTATTGATTCTGTAATAAAAAACATCACAATAATCCACACCACTCCAGACCATCAGTTAATGTCTTTTGAAGAGAAAGCTGCGTGTTTGTAAAAAAAAAACAAATCCATAAGATTTTTAAACTTCAAAACTGTTGCTTCCGGCTAAAATATGAGTCCATAATCCATAATAATGCTTCCTTCAGTGAAAAAGTCCATCTCCTGTTGTCTCTCACATTAATAAAAGAGCTGCTTTTGCTCGTAATCTGTGCAGATTTCTCTCCTGATTCAGACAAAATGACTTTCACTGGAAGAAGTGTTATTAAAGATTATGGACTCATATTTTAGCTGAAAGCAACTGTAACTTGTCTTAATGGTGGATTTGTTTCTTACAAACACACAGCTTTTCACTTCTCAAGACATTAACTGATGGACTGGAGTGGTGTGGATTATTGTGATGTGTTTATATCAGCTGTTTGGACTCTCATTCTGACGGCACCCATTCACTGCAGAGCATCCATTGCTGAGACACTGATGCAATGCTACATTTCTCCAAACCTGATGAAGAAACAAACTCATCTTCATCTCAGATGACCTGAAGATGAGTACATTCACAGCAATTGTTAATTTATGCCTGAACTATTCCTTTAACAGAGCTGTTTCCAGGTAAAAAAAAATAACAATAATAATAAAAATACGTTCACTGTACCTGGACTTCTCCAGCCGTCCTCGGATCAGCAGAACTCCTGCAGTATCGGCGTCCAGCTGGAAGACCTCAAACTCCAGGTTTTGTCCGACACTCAGTCCAGAGTCCCTCCACTGCTCTGAGCTCAGCAGACTGGGCTTCACCACCGACGCGTTAAAGCAGCCGTGAACCAGACAGCCCACGTGACCCACTCCCATTTTATTAATCACACCCTGAGCGACACACAGACACAACATTAAAGGGTTAGTTCCCCCAAAAATTTTAATTAGCCTGTGTTTTACTCACCCTCGAGGAATCCTAGGTGTATATGACTTTCTTCTTTCAGAAGAATTAAATCGGAGTTATATTAAAAATTATTCGTGCTCTTCCAAGCGTTAGAATGGGAGTAGGTGGGTGTTTCTGTTCAACAGTCCAAAAGACGTCAAATAAAGCAAGCACATCCATATTTAGAACTAGAGATGCACCGATCGATCGGCCAGGGATCGGAATCGCCCGATTTTCCTCATGATCGGCACGGATCGGTGATCGGCCGGTCAGTCTCACTTCTTTCCGATTCCGAGCTGATCCGTTGTGTTACCAGCGGCACCGGCAATAACATCAACCGCGCATTCTCGCTCTCAGACAACCCCTTCTCTCTCACACACGGTCTCATTCGCTCCGGTTAAATTGTGCTTGTATTGTGCATTATTTTAGTAATTCCCGCAGGTTTCGCACTTATACCAAACGCGCACTTATTCCACCACTGATCTATATTAGTGGAGCGCACAATCCGCGCTCGGTCTCAAACAGCTTGTGAGCCACAAACACCAAAATGAGTGGCTAACTGCGCTAAAACGGTCAAATACATAAAAAAATTGTCAAAATGCCCGTTTTGGCGAGTTTAAACGCAGTCAGTTTTGGAACGTTAAATAGTTAAGAGAACGCATGTTGTGTAACACAGTATATTGGGTCTGTGGATAAACTCTTAAAGGGACCACAGTCCAATATTCCTGCTGCTGTCTGTCATGTTAATCCAAGAACAAAAGACAAAGACAATTATTTTCTGCTCTTGACTGAATATGTTTTATAACTTTAATGGTAAGCATTAATCTGTATTTAATTTTTACAATGAAAACTACAGAAATTAAAGTAATCAAATGTAAAATAACACTGGATGTGTTATTTTACATTTGATTACTTTAATTTCTGCAGTATTTCTTACCTGAATAAAAACTTGCTTAACCTGAAAAACTTAGTTTCATAGCTCTCTTTATTCTATTGCATTTAACTGTGCTGTTGTTTGCAATTTTTTTTTATTTGTTCTTATTTTGTTACTGACTTTTTACTTGTGTATTTTAATGAAAATAATACTTTGCGTTGAAGAAAAGTAGATTTGTGTTTGTATAAGCTGTCAATTATAGTTCTTAGAAAGAAAATCGGAATCTGCAAAAATCGGTATCGGCAGATCACACTAACGAAAAATCGGAAATCGGCCAAGAAAATTGCAATCGGTACATCTCTAGATATTTTTCTTACAAAACCGCATGGATTCACTACAGGAGGCCTTTATTCACCCCCCAGGAGCCGTGTGAGGCACGTTTTATTATGGATGCATGCGCTTTATTTGACTACTTTTGGACTGTTGAACAGAAACACCCATCTACTGCCATTCTAAAGCTTGGAAGAGCAAGGATAATTTTTAATATAACTCCGATTGGATTCATCTGAAAGAAGAAAGTCATATGCACCTAGGATGCTTTGAGGGTGAGTAAAACACAGGCTAATTTTCATTTTTGTGTGAACTAACCCTTTAAAAACCATCAGCCAATTAACTCAATAATCATGCCTAGAACATGACCTCTAGCTCATGAAGATCTCGTAAGACGTACCACGAGCTTCGATCCTTTCTTTGGTTTGAAGACTACGAACGACGCCTCGATGTTGAAGTGAATGAACCCTTGATCGTCATGAATATCTCCATGCTGTCCTACGACTTTAATGCTGTCATATGCCATAGGAACACCTTTCAGACTGCAAAACAACAGATGAACGAATGGCTGTCAGATATTTTCTTAGTTGTAATCTTTATTAATAAACGATGTTTAAGTTTCAGCCGAGTACAATAGTTGATTATCATAATTTCAGTCAAGAGAGCTCTAAGATTATACTAAACACATTTTTAAATCACATTTTTTATTCACTAATTTAATTTTTTTTTATAAAATATTTTAATAGTTTACACCAATCAAATTAATTAATAAAAAAGTGATTAAAATACATAAGAACTATAACTAAATATAAAAGTAATAATCTAACATAATTGAAAATAACTACATATTTTCCAAATAACACAGCGCTGCAATTTATGCTAATCTGAAAAAAAAAAAAAATACAAATTAACGCTGTATACAAGCATCTAAACTGCACATAAGGCAATTTAAGTATGAAATATATAAACCTTTTAATGATATAATTACGTTTTTACTCCCATTTGATGTTGAAACAAACATTTAAACAATGGGTGTAATAAAACTTCATAACAGATTTATTAAAAAAAAATTATAATGAAGACATTATTAACAGGTTAATAAAAATATAGGCTCATATGTAGAGCACACATGTAGAGCAGCTGAAGTCAAAAGTTTACATACACCTCGCAGAATCTGCAAAATGTTAATTATCTTACCAAAATAAGAACGATCATACAAAATGCATGTTATTGTTTATTTAGTACTGACCTGAATATGTGAAGATATTGCACACAACAGATGTTTACATATAGTCCACAAGAGAACATAATAGTTGAATTTAAAATAAAATGACAAGTTATTTTTTTTGCTCTAGAAAGGAGAATTTTGCTAAATATAACGGAGGTCATTTTATTTTAAATTCAACTATTATTTTTGACTTCAGCTGCTCTACATATGCATATTTATTAGCCTATATTTTTATTAACCTGTTAATAATGTCTTCATTATAATTTTTTTTTAATAAATCTGTTATGAAGTTTTATTACACCCACTGTTTAAATGTTCGTTTCAACATCAAATGTTCACAAAGTCAATGAAAACTTTCCATCACGTATTGCAGAAAAGATGGATAATTAATTTAGTAGTTTTGTAATCTGCCAGAAAAAAGGGCTCCGCTTGATCCGCTTGTCACTGGAGCAAGACATATTTGTACCTTTTTTTTACCCCTATTAGGTACATATTAGTTCCTCAATGGTAGCTATTACTTCTCTAATGTACAAATGCACCTAATAGGAGTAAAAAAAAAAAAAAAAAAGTACAATTATGTCCTTTTAAGGGTAACGTTACTGCTCCAATGACAAGCTGTTGCACCCTAAAAGGTACAATTTTGGCCCCCGTTTTTTCTGTGTGAGGAGTACCTTACTTCTATATCATATTGCAGCAGTGACACACAACGACAAGTTTATAAAAAGTACTACAGCAGCCTATTTTTAAAGGTATTGAGGTTTTATTGACTGTATCATAATACTGAAAGACAAGCACTTATACACGAGTATCGTATAGATACCACGGTGTTAGCATCATACCGCGGTGTTCCCACGGTATGCAGCCTGTGGTTGTACCTGCTGGAGAATTTGAGCAGCTCGGCGTTGAGTTCCTCCTGTATACCGGTGCGTTTCTTCCGCAGGTACTGCGGCGGCAGCGCGATGTGTCTGCGGTGCGAGTCCAGCACGAGACACGAGTACCGCGCGCTCAGCAGCTTCACCGCGTCCGCGAACGACGGGATGAGACACGGAACCGGCGCGGAGACTCCGCCGGCGACACTTCCACTGGATATCTGCGCTACCGTCGACACATCCGCGGGGTTCGTGACGGGTTTCGGAGCTCCGTCTTCCTGCGTCCAGTTCGCCATGCCGTACACATGGAGGAGCACGTGGTGCGTTCGCTCGCGTGTTCGCATGCGGAAAGTGCGGAGTGACGCGCGGCCGCTGGCGGATAGGAGTGGAACTACACTTACAAAAATAAATAAAATAAAAGCATTTTAATAAAATATTTATTTATGTTTTTTTGGTTAATAGTAAGGAACTATTTATTAGTTAGAAACGATTAACTTTCTTAATTATAATTATAATTAACTAAAATAAAAATAACAATCATAATTAAAAATAAAAAAATCTAAATAACTAATTCTAAAATAAAATATAATACAATAAAATTAATCTCTTGTGATTTTGTTTTGATTTTTCTGTTGTTTTGGTAAATAGTAAGAGACTATTTAAAAGTTAAAAAATAACAAATTAACTTTGTTAATTATAATTAAATAAAACATAATTTTTTTTAAATATAAATGATAAATAACTAATTTTAAAAATATATAAAATACACATTTTAACAATATTTTGTATGTTGTTTTGATAAATAGTAAGGAGCTATTTAATAGGTAATAATTAACTTTATTCATTATAATTAACTAAAATAACAATTATTACATATAAATTATTAAATAATTAACCAGAAAAATTAAACAAAATAAAATTAGTCTCTTGTGATTTTTTGTCGTTTTTGTGGATAGTAGGATTCCATTTAAAAGTAAAAAACGAATTCACTTTTATTAATTATAATTATAATTAACTACAATTTTAAAATATTATTCAATATAAATTATAAATAAATAATTTAATAAATAAATAAAAGGTGATTTTGCTTGAGTTATTTCTGCTGTTTTTGTTATAAGCAGCTACATTATTTACACGATTATAATAGTAAGGAATTATTTTAAAGAAAAATAAAGAATAATTAAAATTAAATATAATTTGCAATTAATTAGAAATAATCAAAAAGAAAAATTAAAAAGAAAACTAAGAATTAACTTAAATATTAAATTAAACAAGATTTTTTATTTTATTTATTAATGGAATAAATGAAAAAATGGATGAAGGGGACACTGACTGAAATAAGACAATAAAACACTTCTGAAAAAAAATGTGTAGAGTTAGTCTAGTATGTATATTAAAGATGTAGACTATATTAAAACAAAACTCTTTGGTGTGTGAATTAAAAGTGTCACTGTGTGTTAATGGCTTAATCATCAGTCATAATGCCACACATTACATTTGACATCTTTATTTCATTTTCATACGAAGCCTCTATATAAAAATACTGTAAATTAATAAATATCTTTACAGGCATTTTACAGTGTGCATTTATACGATCAGGATAAAAGCATTCAGTTTACCATACAGTATCAGGATTACAATTTCAGATTCAACATTCCCTTCATTTAGATACAGGGAGAGAGAAAGAGATACAGAAAGAGAGAGAAGATCGTTTGCATGCTTTTTTGTAATCAAATATCTGTTTTCTGTACGCTGGTTCGTCAAGGCCATCAGATCTGACCTCTCCTGAGGTCATCAGGTAACTGGACACTGATTGGCTGTCTGTCTGCTCAATACTGTTATCTGATGCTCTGTCTACAGGATGTCCTGTGAATGCCGTCTGTGCTTCTACTGTCAGCTCGTCTCAACCAATCAGAGTGAAGAACTGTCAGCCTGACTCAGCCAATCAGGGGGAAGAACTGTGCTGTTAAGAGCGAGTGGGCAGCGAGCTGTCACGGCGAAGCGCTCCGTCCGTTGAAGGAGATTTGAGAGATGCCATTGCTGGTGGTATCCAAAACCTCCTGCAAACAGATAAACACACGGCCGAGTTTGTGAGGAGGTTTCGCTACGAGATACACATTCAAACAGACAAGAGAGAGAAAACCTCCATTTAGCTACTGTATGAGTGAGATGAGTTTGTTTCTTCATCAGATTTGGAGAAATGTAGCATTACATCACTTGCTCAGCAATGGATGCTCTGCAGTGAATGGGTGCCGTCAGAATGAGAGTCCAAACAGCTGATAAAAACATCACAATAATCCACACCACTCCAGACCATCAGTTAATGTCTTGAGAAGCCAAAAGCAGCGTGTTTGTAAGAAACAAATTCATCATGAAGACATTTTTAACTTCAAACCATTGCTTCCTGCTAAAAGTCCATAATCCATAATAACACTTCCTCCAGTGAAAAAGTTGTCTTGTCTGAATCAGTATAGAAAACTGCACACATCAAACACCGTTTACAAGCAAAAGCAGTCCAAAACATCTCTAAACAAATACGTGGGTGGATTTTGATGTTAGAGACAACAGGAGATGGACCTTTTTCACACATTATTATGGATTATGGAATCATATTTTGGCCAGGTTTGATGTTAAAAATGTCTTAATGATAGATTTGTTTCTTACAAACACAGCTTTTGGCTTCACAAGATGTTAACTGATGGAGTGGAGTGGTGTGGTTTACTTGTGGAATATTGTGATGTTTTTATCAGCTGTTTGGACTTTCATTCTGACGGCACCCATTCACTGCAGAGCATCCATTGCTGAGCAAGTGATGCAATGCTACATTTCTCCAAATATGATGAAGAAACAAACTCATCTACATTAACTTTCAACTCTAATATATCAGCAAAACGAAACAAGAAGTATGAATCTGGCTTCATTCAATGTTCATATTTCTGTTCTGGAAATTTCAGCTTTAATGTAACGTTGACTGTAAGTGTATGAGATACACTGGCACACACAGACCGCACAAGCATACCAGCTCCTGGCGTACCTTCTCTGCCATTTCTTGCGAGTGATGCAGTGAATGTTCTCTCTCCAGAAACATGCGCTGCTGTTCGCTGCTGGCCAGTCTGCAGGTCAGCCATGTGGACAGTGTGCAGCTGCTGATGCCCAGACATGCTAGAGACATGATGGCCAGATGAAGAGAGCGCATGGCATCTGGACGCTTGACCAGTGCACGGACAAACTGGAAGTTCAGGATTCCACCGATTAACCCACAAATGCAGCAGGAGGAAAATAATATCATCTGATAGAGAAAAACATACATAATGTTAGCTGTTTGTGTATGCATATTGCGTGCATACAACATTCAAATAATAATGCATACTGCATGCATATATCATTAAAACAATAACACATATTGCATGCATATATCGAAATAACAATGCACATTGCATGCAAACATTAAAATAATATTGCATATTGCATGCATACATCATTAAAATAATAATGCAAATTGCATGCGTACATTCAAATAATAATGCATATTGCATGAAAACATCAATTAAATAATAATGCATATTGCTTGCATACATCATTAAAATAATAACACATATTGCATAGATACACCATTAAAATAATGCATATTGCATGGATGCAATATCAAAACAATCATGCATATTTCATACATACAGTAAAATAACGCATATTAAATATATTAAATATTGCATGCACACATTATTGAAATAATGTATATTGCATGCATACAATATTAAAAGAATAACGCATAAAACATGCATTTAAAATTGAAAATAATAATGCATATTTAATGCATTTGGCACTAAAATAATGCAGACATTATTAAAATTATTATACACTATTACAAATGCTTTAATAGTTTAACTATTTCTGGTGGACTGAAATCAGTATGTAAAAAAGTAAGTAAAATATAATCAGAAAGTAAAAATCAGACAGTAAAATATAAGTAAAATTTTTATCAGTTAAATTATCAAAGTAGTGTTTGCCTATGTAAAAGTAACAACCAAAGTGCTAGGGGCGTTGCTATGCATTTCCTAAGGTGTTCTGATTGGTTTCCATGCTCATAAAGGTCACAGTATATTAATCGGGAAGCGTACAGCACAGCAGAAATACTGTATACGGAGGATGAAGATGAAACCATTGTGTACTGGGAGAATGGATTGTGCTGCTCTGTGATTTTATAATCGGTCAGACCACGTCCAGACAGTGACATTATCTGCCTGCAGAAAACTGCCACCTCAACACTTCAGGACAGATCTGACCTCAAATTACACAAGAGACTTCTGACTCCACAGCACAGTTGCACATTATCACGTTATCCTTATTCCTGGATGGCACACCCCTTTTTAGTGGCAATAACTGCTACTGTCACTGCTTGGTATTGTGCACTGCAGAAATTGTTGGCTCCTATGATAAATAGCTTACACTAATAAGGGTGTGCAAATGACTAAAATGTAAATGTACTGTTGGTAGACACTATGATCAAAATAGCATACCACTTGTTTTTGCAGTATATACAGTGCACTAGGAAGGTCTATATTAAAGCATGTGCATTTCCATTCATATAAAAGGTAATTCAGCTCATCATTTATAATGATTATATTGTAAATATCCATTATTTGTGACTTTTTAATGTAAGGCACTACAGGTGAATAGAGTAACATTTTAACTAATGCTGTAAATATCATCATAAACCCAGCTGATTAATCACAGTACATTAAGACAATTATTTTGCATGACAAAAATATAACAAATATAACAAAATATGCAAATGAGGCATTATATGATTAAATATGCACTAATTTGCATACATTTCCAGACCAGAAATCTGAGCATTGAATTTGTTGCTGTTTTCTTTGGGGCAGCAAGCACGTTGACATAAGTCTTCTACTGTAATTTCCACATGAACATTAGATAAAGCAAGATTACAAATTCTTGTTTCATTTTGTTGACATATTAGAGTTAATGGTTTTTACTGAGGGCATTTTGGATATCTCCTTTTATTACTCTGTAAATGAGAAAATACTGTCAACAGGTAGAAAAATATAAATTTTAACCATATTTTTGGGAATAAAATGTTACAAAAAAGCTTGTAAATGATATATGAACAAATCCCTCAGTAAGAACCTTCAGAATATATATAGGAATAAAACTGTAAGTTTTAGTTCATGTAAGTGTTACTGAAGTGGAGATAAAACTCATTTTGAGAAACCGACTTTAAAGATATGCATTGTAACTGAAACAGGTAAAGTGCAATTATAAAATCAGGTGAATAATGTATGAACAAACCCCTCAGTAAAAACTTTCAGAA